ATTGTCTGAACCCGCAGGTTTGAGACCCGCCTGGGCAACTTGGAGAGACCTCATCTCTACAATAAATAAAAAAATTAGCTGGGCGTGGTAGTGCACGCCTGTAGTTCCAGCTACTTGGAAGGCTGAGGCGGAAGGATCGCTGGAGCCCAGCAGGTCGAGGCTGCGGTGGCCGGAAGTGGCCACTGCACTCCAGTCTGGGCGACAGAGTGAGACTCCAACTCAAAAAAAAAAAAAAAAAGAGTAGGCAAAAGAAATTTAACACATAGTTAATCATTGTTTCTGGGTTGAATGGGGGTTCTGATCTCCTAATTACAACTGTGGAATATAACTGTGGAACCTCTGTGTTGTAAACAAGTCTGTTACATATACTAATAAAAGGAAGATTAGTAAATGGCTGCGAATATATGATTATGGGCCGATGAAAAACCAACTGCTTTAATGATATGGAGCACAGGTTCCTGTGGGTTGGGTAACATTTCCAATAATAACATCCTATATAAATTTACAACTAACTATATCCAACACATTTTAAACAACTGGCACAATTAATGTGCTCTCAGTGACTCGATTTAGGATTGATAAAGGTGTTACTGTTAACGCACCTGAAGGGTTTGGAAAGAAATTATTTATTTAGTAAGCTATGTGTGGAAAAAAGTATTTATAATCAGCGGGATTTATTTTAAATGTTCATATGTAAGCAAATTAATAAAACATACAAATAGTAATTTGGCTTTTTTGTCTACACCCTTAAAAATCATATATTCCAATTTGGTACAAACATTGTTTTGGATTTTCTCAATGACGAGTTGCCTTCAATGTGGGAGTCACTTTATATTCCTGTTACTCTTCCTGTAGCTCCTGAGTGGGGAGCCTGAGGGAAGGATGGAGGGGTGAACTTTCCTCTCTCCTCCTCCTCCCTCTCTTTTCCTCTCTCCACCCTTGCTTTGCTGCTCAGGGCCAGGCACAGAATGTGGTCTGGGCTGGGGCCCCAGAGTATGCCAGACTCTACTCTGTCCTTGGGGAGACTGGTTTTAGACTTTGGGAAGTCTGGGCGTTTTGATTTACACTTGCAGTGCCTGTACTTTGCTTCTTACTGCATAAAGCCTATCCCATGCAACATATTCATTTATCTTTAAGTAGATTTATTATATGAAATATGCATTGGAGCAGCCTCGCAGTACGGCATCTGGAACAACGTACTGAGTACAGTTTGTCCTCATAAATCTATTAACGTGGATGGGATGCAGTTGTCTCCAGGGAAGCGTTGGGGTGAGATGGGGCTGGCAGGGGCACACATTGGCTGCAGATGCCCCTTTACCTCCTCTCACTTGGCCGTGGCAATCTCTGCCCTGTATGCACACATGTATACATTCTTTCTCTTTCTTTTTGATGAACATTGAGGCTTCTGCTTCTGTGAGAACCCTCTTGGCTTCCAGCTTCTTGTGTAACTGCAGCTTCCAGGGATAGTTTGGAGGTGTGGTGAGGCTCAGAGGGAAAAGCTGGCCCATGGTTGAAGGCTGAGCTGAGAGGGGAGGGGATTCAGGTGATGGGAGGGGTGGGATGCTAACACAGGAATAAGTGCAGCGTGGCAACACCTGGGCTAGGTGCTTATCCCAGATAATCCTGACAGACACTATGGGAGGTAGGTGTTGTCATTTCTGAACTACCCACGAAAAAATGAAGCCTGGGAGAGGTTTAGCAACCTGCTGGAAATGCAGTGCATTCAGTTTATGGCCTATTGTGTGGCCAGGGGCTGTGGATGCAGGGCACAGAGGCAGTGACAGCCTCTGGCCTCAAGGAGTACCTTGTTTGGCAGGCGTAGAAACAGAACCCTGTAGAATGAGTCATTCAGGGTAAGTGGAGCCCCTGTGTGATTAGGATATAGGAGGCTGTGGGAAGGCTGGCGAGGAAGATTGGAAAGCTGGACAGGAGTTTGCCAGGCTGGAGAGGGAGTTGCAGATCGTAGGAAGAGCAGTACAGACCTACAAGGACGTAGGACGTACAGGTGTGGTAGCAGGTGAGGGCCTGCCTGGTTCAGTTCTGTCCGGTCACAAAGGAAGGCAAGGGCAGGAGAGGCAGCCAAGCCACTATTGCAGGCCCTTGCCAGGGAATTTGAATGGTAGCCGAGGGCAATGGGGAGCCATCGGAGTTTGAAGCCAAGGGAAGAGAGAAGTGAGTATATATGTTTGACTCTAGGGGAACAACAGAGGCTGTTTGGAAGGTGGGAGGCAGGAGGTAGAGGGGTGAGATGGAGTGAGGGAGGAGGGCATGGGAGGCAAGAGGCGTAATTTGGGATTTCTGTTGGGAAATAGCAGGAACTGGTCTGGATTCTCTATCTGAGAAAAAGCTAAAAAAAATAAAAAAGCCAGCTGGAAAACAGTATATTAGAAGAGAAATATCAAGACATTTAAAACAAAGATAAAAGACTTAAAGAGTTACATACGGAGGAAGACCCCAAAAAACCCAGAATTTATTCATAAAAAGTTGTATATTCTTACATGTTTAAACTTCAGTCACCTTCAAGGTGCTCTCCATTTGATGCAATACACTTATTGAGACACTTTTTCCACTGCTCAAAACAGTTTTTGAACTCATCAATTTAGATGCCTTTTAGTGCTTTTACCATTTTTGGTTTCACCTCTTTCATATCGGCAAAACATTTCTCTCTGAGGATTTTTTTCATCCGGGGAAATAAAAAAAAGTCTCTTGAGGTGAGATTGGTGACAAGGGAGGGCAGGGCTTGGGGGTCATGCCATTTTTGGTCAAAAACTGCTGAACACTCAGCATGGTGTGGGCAGGTGTGCTCGTCAATCAACCATCATGAAATGGGCAAACACGTTGAAAGAATCTCCAAAAACAAAAATTCACTGAAGCTGAACATAACCTCTCGCAACAATACTAGCTGGTCTGCTAATGTTGATGTGTTCCTAGTACTTACCTAGAGGGGGAAGCCTGTGCTGCAAGGTACCCATCCTGCAAAAGATAATTCCGTTTTTTTGAGTGTCCCCCTTATAAAACACGTTTTAGGGAACGATGAGGATCAATACAGTATAAAAATTTTTCTAAGTTTAGTAGTGTTTTAGAGGCCGGGCTCAGTGGCTCAGCCTGTAATCCCAGCACTTTGGGAGGCGAGGGTTAGTGGATTGCCTGAGGCCGTGGGTTCGAGACCAGCCCGGGCAACTTGATGAGACTGCGTCTCTACATTAAATCGAAAATTAGGTGGGTGTGGTAGTAAGCACCTATAGTTCTGGCTGCTTGGAAGGCTGAGGTGGAAGGATTGCCAGAGCCCAGCAGGTCGATGCTAGGGTGGCCGTGAATGTGTCACTGCACTCCAGCCTGGGTGACAGAGTGAGACTTCAACTCAAAGAAAAAAAATAGTGTTTTAGAAATTAAAGGAGACCCATGAATAAATGCAAACATGAGAGCTAAGAGAAATATAGTTTAAAAAGAAATATGAGAGAAATAAGAAATATGAGAAATAAGGAAAATACAGGCCAAAAGCAGAAACAAAAACAGAAAAGCAGACATGGCTCTGGAGGTGTGAGGAGTATAGGTGACACCATGAGACTCGGGCAGAAAGGGAGAGGGAAAGGACAAAGGTAAGTGATGGAACAGAGCCCACGTAGTGGAAAACGCGGGCACCACCTACACCTGTCCTTTCTCTTGCTGTCATGGCGGCTGACCACGTACACAGGTCAGTTGGGGCTTCATGTGACTTCACCTTTTGCTGCTGGTACCTGTTCAGGTGGGTTCTTGGGAGTCAATGTGGTGGTGGTTGAGCAGCCAGGTGGCAGCGAGACAGGCCTGTCCTGTTAGGCACCAGAGATAATGATGGTGCCTGACTCCTAGGAGTGCTGAGGAAGGAGGAGGAGGGACACCCAGGCTTCCGGCGTGAGGACCTCTTGTGTGTCGATGCTGTGGGGACACATAGAGCAACAGGAGGAACTTGCAGACATGTGTGAGCCGAGTGTGTGGTCATTTGGTATCATGTAAGGCTGGGGCTACATGTGGGATGTACTTCTAATCTTCTGGAAGGGTGTCAGGCAAGGAAAACCAATCAGGGTCCTGTGAATACTCTTGTCTACTCCAACGCTGGTTGAGCCAATGCCTCCCTCCTTTGTCTGTCACTGTTAAGGAAGAAGGATGTGTTTGTGGTGGACAGAGTGTGTGCTGGGAAGTGGGAGCCCAGGCTCTAGTTCTGACCATGCTTCCTAGCTGTGTGACTTCGGATGGGCATAACCTCTCTGAGTGTCTGCTTTGTAACTGAGAGGCTGAAATAGTGATGTGTGCCTCAGCCAAGTCCTGGGTTGTCACGGGAATCAGTGTATATATGTGAGAGCGTTTTGTAAATTGCAAAGTGCAGCAGCTAGTGACACCCCTAGGCTTCTGAGTGCTTTGAGGAAAATGGTACCTGGTCCTTACACATCTCACAATGCCTCCAGAGTGTCTCAGAGGCTCAAGAAATGCTGATTGAGTTGGTGGGTGAGCACTGAGCACTTTCCAGGTTCTGTTTTCCAGCGGCCAGATCCTTTTGTTCACACTCTTAGATGAGGGAGGTAGAGTTGGAGCGTCTCACTGGCCTGTGGAATGGACACAGTGGCCCACCAGGAGGTGGCAATACCCGAGGCAGTATTAGTCTCCCAGATAGACTGAGGACCAGACACTAACATGGTTTCTAGTCACTGGGCACAGAACTGCATTCAGGGTGGCTCAGCCTGAAATTCAAAAGCAGGAAGCTGACTGTCCTGTCCCGTTCCCTGTCCTCACTCCTACTTCTCTCCCACTGCTTACCCCGCACATGCCTGTCTATACGCCCTCCCCACACAATGTCCCTGTCCCACAGCTAGCCTCTGCATAGCCCTGACCCTGATTCCCCATTGTTCCGCATCTCCTTAAGTCACCCACGTCCTCTAGACCCTGGTGGATGTTGGGGAGTTGAGCTCAGGGTGAGAGCCAGTTTGCTGAGCCTGATTTGCTGATTTCCTTGTGCCCTGCCGCAGGTCATCTTCCATGATGTTGCTGTGCTGACCGACAAGCTCTTTCCCGTGGTGGAGGCCATGCAGAAGCACTTCAGTGCTGGCTCAGGGACCTACTACAGCGACTCCATCTTCTTCCTCTCAGTCGCCATGCATCAGATCATGCCCAAAGGTAACCAGGACTTCTAGGAGCACCAGCCCCTGGGTGTTTCACGTTTGCATCCATCTCCCTGGCTCCGACACTGCTAGGGCCCTGTATCAGAGAAGAGGTCCACAGAGTGTGCACAGGAGGGCGAGGGAGGCAGTCCAGCCCTGTGTCCCTCAGAGCTTCCCATACAAGAACCAAGAACAGTGGCTCCTGGGGCCTATTTGTGAGGACCCAGTGTGCGTTGTGCAGTATGGGGTCTCTGGGCTCCAGCTCTGACTCTGCCTTTTGTACACATACCCCTGCCCTCCATACTTAGTTTATTCATCTGAAAAATGGCAAGTTGGACTAGATGATCCTCCATCTAAATTTGTGATCCTGTTATTTCTAGTTTGAATCCATTTTAGTCTGATTTTAAAATATCAAATCTAGATATGAGAGGTACAAATTATGACAAAGTAGGACTTTTTATGAAACTCTGATGCAGAGTTAAAAGAATTTTCTGGACCTCTTTCCCAAGGAAGGAGAGATGCAGTTGTCCGGGCTGCGAGATATAGTTGTCTTGTATGTGGTAGATTCAGCTTGTGTGGCAGGTCTGGTTGTCTTTGGACTGGAAGCCTTGGAGGGTCTAATTCATGGGGTGTCTCTGGCTTCTGGCTTCTCCTGATGATCCTTGATTGGTTCTGGAGCCATGGGTCGTGCCCAGCTACTGGTCATGGAACTGAGGCTCTTAGGGGTGATAAGGAGTGTTTGGGGCCTTAGGGTAGCAGTTATCTGAACTGTGGCTGGTTGACTTTTTCAGCAGTTTACCAGGCAGGACCTGACAGCTGGGGGACAGCCAGGCCATTCATTTGGTGGAACCCTGCTGATCTGGTCCAACATACCAGAAGTGACAGAGAGGGAGCCTTGTGAACCAGGGACTCAGACGTTGAAAGTCGAAGCTCTCTTCCCATTGGCAGGTGGTCCAACAAAGAGAAAAGCAAGCCTATCCATTCTGGCTGGGACTTCGTCTCCACAGATAAGTTTCAGCACCATGGCAGCCTCTGCGTGTTCTCCTATATGTAAGGCAAGGGCTCAGGGGGCTCCACTGAGGGGGAGTCTGCAGAAGTGAGGAGATGAGCTCAATGAATGGAACAGGGAGAAGAGCTAACATTTGTGGACCTCTGCAGTGACCCAGGTCAGATCACCGAGCCCTCCCACCCATCCTGTGGGGTTACAGGTAGAGCTGAAGGTGACCTGCCTGGGGTTATACAGCCATTTAAGTGGCAGAGCTGGGACTGGAACCCTGGTCTGTGTGGCATGGAGGCTTGCTTCTCCAAATAGCAGTTATTTCTGTCCCATCAGGTAACCCATATGTGACCTCTCTGGGCAGGCCAGAGAGCTGTGGGTGGCTCTGATTGAGGAGGGTGTGGTTCTGTTCTAGATTCTAGGGGGAGATAAATGTAGCTGCCAGTCCCAGCCCTGCCACTAGCCACTGGTGTGCCTTCGACTGAGCCACTTTGTCTCCCTAGGCCTCAGTTTCCCCACCTGTCAAATGAAAGGCTGCACCAGGGAGCTGTTTCCCCTTGCCTTCCAAAGAGTCCAGGGCTTATGGGAATCCCCCTAGGAGTTTCTGTGGTTCCTGGAGTGGGGGTGGCAAGGTGGGGAAGGAGGCAGCCTAATCTCCCTTCACCTCCCTGACTCCTGCCTCGCTCCCTGTCGGCTGTTAGCCTGCTTGTCATCGTGTGCTCAACTCTAGGCCAGGGAGAACTGGCATTTGTGATGCTTTGGGGTCCCCAGAGGCAGCTGAAAAACTGCTCCTTGTTTGTCAGGGAGGAGAAGATACTTCTTCCCACAGCTGTAGGAGAGCCAGGCAGCGCCCTGTGCAGGGCAGATGACAAGAGTCAGGGAGCTCCCAGGCTGCCTTTCCTCTGGCTTCCCAAGCGTTGAGAATCACACCAGGAAGTGATTCTGGGGGCGACATCTGCAGAGAAAAGGCTTCGGCCAGAGCCCTGCTCTCAATGCAGTAAACGGATTAGATGATCAGTGTCCCTCTAGGTGCAGCCCTTCCTCTGAGGGCCCTTGGTCAGGAGCTGGAGAAGGAGTCCTAGACGTGTTTTGGGCAGAACCAAACACTGCCCAGAGAGGTCACGAATGGGCCACCTGATGGGACAGAAATAGCTGCTATTTGGGGAAGCAGGCTTCCACACCAGACAGACCAGAGTTGCAGTCCCGGCTCTGCCACTTAAATGGCTGCATAACCCTGGGCAGGTCACATTCAGCTCTACCTGTAACCTCACATGACAGGTGGGAGGGTGCAGTGAGCTGACAGAGCTGCACCAGGGTCACTGCAGAGGACCACAAATGATCATGTGTTTTCATTTTTACTCATGCCCGAGATCCACTTCCTAAGAAAAGAGTTATTAGGAGTTACTAAGATTTGATAGTGATAAAATAAACGAGCAACCCTGACGTTTCCTGTGCATCTGGGACGTGTTCTGCCAGGAAATCTGGCTGCGACAGGACACTTGGCAGCTCTGGGGAGTTCCTACTGGGCAGGAGCATTTGGAATTCCTGCAGTTCTCGGAAGGACACTTTGTTTTCAGACATCATCAGTGCTCTTGAGTTTACAGTGATTCTTTATTGCTGCCTTTTTTGTATTCATTTTTGTTTTTAATTGTAGAAATTACTGTTGCTTTGTGCTTTGGCTGATGTTTTGCTCTAGTATAATTGCTGCACTCTTGCTATTTTGTTTCTTTTGCTGCATTCTTTTTTTCTTTCCCCAAGTAAGAATGGAGGCGCTAACTGCTGGGGGCTGTGCCCTTGGTCCCGTCCAGAAAGGCTGGGCCAGAAAAAACGTGTGCTCCTGAGTTATGTCTCGTAGAGGTCCCGTCTGGTATTTGCCCTAGAAATCCAGATTATTTCTCTGTGTGTAAGCTTCTCCGACCCCCTTTCCCTTCTGTAGCATAAGGGTCATCCTTCCATAGTTATACTACTTTTAAAATATGTTTACTTCTTTTTCTATTTTATGAATAACACTCATTCATGAAAGAATATCTGAAAACATCATTAAAGTAGAAGAAAAGATTAATTGTATGCTACTATGTGAACATCATCATTGCTAATTCTTCATTTTCTTCTAGAATATTCCCTAGAAAGTGAGAATGGAGTATGGGGATGGGGTGGGCCTGAGCCCTTAGTCCCACCCAGGAAGGCTGGGTCATGAAGCTTTATAAAAATTTAGGTAAAGTAGGAGTTATACTATATATTCAAATCATCCTGAGTCATTTTTTTATATATGAGGATTTGAAATTGAGCCTTCATTTCCATTAAAAAAAAGTAAACAATGATACAAATGAAGCTGTATCATGATTTTTTCAGTTAATGTCACATTACCATTTTCTCTGTAATTATAGTCTTTGAACATTTTTTGAATGGTTCCACTGAGTAGTTGAGCCTTAATTCATATGATATTTCTCTGTTTTCAGCTAGCAAGATGCTTTCTAGTTTTTCTAATTTCATAAGTTATACTATGATGAATATTCACATGCATAAAGATTATTTTCTCTAATTAGGATTCTTTCCTAATGATACCTCCCAAGGGTAGAATTACTGGGCCAAAGGTGATCCTTACAGACTAGGGTTGCTGGCTCCTGAGTGAGGCTGTACAGTTTTCATTTTCTTTTTTTTTCTTTCTTTCCTTTTCT